ATGATGCTTGTATGACTTATTTTTTATTTGTAGAGTTGTGTTGTGATATCTTCCCGTGAGTCCCTGATCTTGATCGTACACATTTGCGTGCATGATTAGTGTACGATTGAATCGGGGGCGTCACATTTCTATCTTAGGACCACCCCAAGGACGCTGATTTCCTCAACACACCCATCTAGAACTACAACTAGATGCAGCGCATCTTTTCCTTCGGCCTGGCAACCGGTAAGCATGCCATAAGCTCCGGTGAGGCCCTCGGCTCTCCCATGCTGGAGTTCCCAGGCACCCCGGACGTAGAGGCGGTCCTTGATGGCCCTGACAAGCCATTTGAGCATGTCCCTGTGCTCGATAGGATGAGGAAGAGGGACGACCTGATGGAGGAGGAGATCAGTGTCTTCACCAACATGACCAAGCCTGTGAAGGAGGTGGCAACCGCCATTAGGGAGAGCAAGGCCGTCGACGTCCACCCTGACCTGTATAGCGCCGTCATGGAGCAAGGTGGCTTCAACGATGAAGCTCCCATGGCAGCTCTGAGCCACCTGCTGGACAACAAGGTCCTGGATGTTGGGTTTGTTGCCATGACAGACGCCCACAGGGTGCTTTGGCTCAGGAGTTGGCTGGGCAAGCACTATTACTAGAGCTTGCTGCTGGTTACCGTGTGCATGATTTTGGATGGCGATGATGATGGCGACAGCGACGACGACGTATATTTTGTGTAGTTATGTTGGGGAACGTTGCAGAAAACAAAAATTTTCCTACGGTTTCACCAAGATCCATCTATGAGTTCATCTAGCAACGAGTGATCGGATTGCATCTACATACCTTTGTAGATCATGCGCGGAAGCGTTCAAAGAACGGGGATGAGGAAGTCGTACTCGACGTGATCCAAATCACCGGAGATCCTAGCGCCGAACGGACGGCACCTCTGTGTTCAACACACGTACGGTCAGCGTGACGTCTCCTCCTTCTTAATCCAGCAAGGGGGAGGAGAGGTTGATGAAGATCCAGCAGCACGACGGTGTGGTGGTGGATGCAGCAGTCACCACAGCAAGGCTTCGCCGTTCTTCTGCGAGAGGGAGAGGTATAGCAGGGGAGAGGGAGGCGCCAAGAGTCAAGGGTGCGGCTGCCCCCTCCCTCCCCCCTTTATATAGGCCCCCTAGGGGGTGCGCCGGCCCTAGGAGATGGGATCTCCTAGGGGGGCGGCGGCCAAGGGGTGGAGTGCCCCCCAAGCCAGGTGGGGCGCCCCCCCACCCTAGGGTTCCCAACCCTAGGCGCGTGGGGTGGGCCAAGGGGGGCGCACCAGCCCACTATGGGCTGGTTCCCCTCCCCACTTTAGCCCATGGGGCCCTCCGGGATGGGTGGCCCCACCTGGTGGACCCCCGGGACCCTTCCGGTGGTCCTGGTACAATACCGGTGACCCCCGAAACTCTCCCGATGGCCAAAACTACACTTCCTATATATAATTCTTCACCTCCGGACCATTCCGGAACTCCTCGTGACGTCCGGGATCTCATCCGGGACTCCGAACAACTTCTGGGTTACTGCATATTATATCTCTACAACCCTAGCGTCACCGAACCTTAAGTGTGTAGACCCTACGGGTTCGGGAGACATGTAGACATGACCGAGATGGCTCTCCGGTCAATAACCAACAGCGGAATCTGGATACCCATGTTGGCTCCCACATGCTCCTCGATGATCTCATCGGATGAACCACGATGTCGAGGATTCAAGCAACCCCGTATACAATTCCCTTTGTCAATCGGTACGTTACTTGCCCGAGATTCGATTGTCGGTATCCCAATACCTCGTTCAATCTCGTTACCGGCAAGTCACTTTACTCGTACCGTAATGCATGATCCCGTGACCAGACACTTGGTCACTTTGAGCTCATTATGATGATGCATTACCGAGTGGGCCCAGAGATACCTCTCCGTCATACGGAGTGACAAATCCCAGTCTTGATCCGTGTCAACCCAATAGACACTTTCAGAGATACCCGTAGTATACCTTTATAGTCACCCAGTTACGTTGTGACGTTTGGTACACCCAAAGCACTCCTACGGTATCCGGGAGTCACACGATCTCATGGTCTAAGGAAAAGATACTTGACATTGGAAAAACTCTAGCAAATGAACTATACGATCTTGTGCTATGTTTAGGATTGGGTCTTGTCCATCACATCATTCTCCTAATGATGTGATCTCGTTATCAATGACATCCAATGTCCATAGTCAGGAAACCATGACTATTTGTTGATCAACGAGCTAGTCAACTAGAGGCTTACTAGGGACATGTTGGTGTCTATGTATTCACACATGTATTACGATTTCCGGATAACACAATTATAGCATGAATAAAAGACAATTATCATGAACAAGGAAATATAATAATAATCCTTTTATTATTGCCTCTAGGGCATATTTCCAACAAGTTAGGGCTTAAAAACTGTTTCATGGTCTGTATATTTTGTTGAGGTGGTATATACTAACCCCTCATGATGACAGTGAAACTTGCGATGATAGGATGACACCCTTCTTTTGGATGTGATGGTAGAATGACACCATAGTTGTGCTAAGTTAGAACTTGCTGTGCCATATGATCATGCATGCTTACTACGTCTGCTCCATTGCTTGCTTCTTGATTGTTCTTTTGCTTGCTGCTTCAACTGCTGCTCTTGTGCACTGCTAGGACAAATGCTATGCGGTGTTCTTCTGAGGGCACCAGGGGTTTATAGTTCATAGGAAGTTTGCAGTGAACAAGTTGCATCTTACAGCAACAGAAGCCATAGAGGGTTTAAGACTAGGCAGGCGGCATAAAGAAGCTTACGCCAACTATGTGCGAAAGCACGCAGTTGGTGTGGTTGAAATTGGCAACGTTGTAGTTGCCAAGGCGGCGCCACGCCTTGTGGTGAAGAACTTCATCATCATCGTGCAGTTCATCGCCATTGTAGTGCTGTGACGTTGGTGTGCTAGATGTGATCATGTGTAAGATAACCTCACCACATAGGGTACAAGGTTAGCACACTTCGCATCGTATGCGCAACCAAACATCGTGCTTATGTGTGAGTTCAAACAATACGGACAACCAAAAAGCTATCCCATAATACGTGAAAACTAAATACGGGCAACCAAACATCTTGTAGATGTTGGTTTAAAGGTTACATTTACTCAACCAGCCATCGACCCTTGAGCTAGTCAGGACCGGCCGCTGCCAAACACGCCGATACAAGATTCCAAAAAGTTTGGCGAGCTGCAAGTTCGTAGTGGGTCAATTCTCGTTCCTGATCTTTTTTGAAAGTTCGTTCCTGATTTCCACGTACATGACTTCCAACTGTCCAAGTCAATGAACTTCAAAAAAAAAAAAAACTGTCCAAGTCAATGCATGGCGATCGTCCACTGAAAAAGATAAAAATAAAAATCATGGCGATCGTAGCTGGACCGGCCATGGCCATGGCCATGCCTGACTGACCTGCGCCAGCGTACGAGACCCTCGGCGAGTCGTGGCCGAGAGACTTGGTACGTGCATCTTGTTCCCCCACACGGCCACATCAACCCGTTCGCCACGCAGTGGCTGTGTACCTGGCCTTGTTGTTTTCTGTTTTAGTCCCGTGCGAGGTGTGCCCCGGACGTGTACGCCGGGTATGGAGTATCATGTACTCCTATGTATTCCTACGTCCGTCCAAAGTTGTGGCTTGTCCGTGCTGTGGAACTCCGGTAAATGGTGCCTTCGGCGATGCTCTGTTCCGTGTACTGTAGTGCGTGAAACGGTTGGCGCATGTACAGATGTACTCTACTCGTTTTGCATGCCGTCTTGGAGCAGCTGAGTCTCCTCAGGTAAATATATATATATATATTTAAAAAAATTGTAAATGTATTTTGAAGTATTCATGATGCATTCAAAAAGTTGACAATGTGTATTTCAAAAAATGTTCGACGTGTATTTAAAAATCATTGTGTAAAATCATTCTTGCATTTCAAGAAACACGTTGAATTTTTTAATACAAGTTGAACAGTCATATTTCAAGATACCTATTTTTAGTTTTTAAATCCATGTAAAAATAAACACAAACTTGGAGGAAAACAATAATAAAAACCGGTGGCTGGACATATAATTGGGCAAAAATATAACCAATTTCTAAAACCGCTAGCTGGGCGTATAATTAAGAAAAAATGAACGACGTGTTTCTCATGCGGTTAGCTAATAATCCCTAATTTTCTGAAAATTAGAAAACTCGCCGAATGTATTTCGTTTGAGATTAGATTGGTTCGGAAATATATAAACAAAATAAGGAACCGAATGTAATAAGCAAGTAACAGAAGGTGGCGCTGTGGCTAGGCCTACAAGCGCATGCCACAAGCGTTCGAGTTTGAATCTCACAGACGCCATGGTATCAATTTGTCACTCTAGCTTAAATTATGGTACCAAGGTCTCGCAAGGTGACCATGTTGTCACCTTAGCTTAAATTTGTCGCGTTGTGCGTACGAAACTGTGATATTTGGTGTCAGATAAGACTTTTCGGCCAAGGTCAGGCCGACTCCGGTATGAGAGTGGCGACAACAGCATGTCGGCGGCTCGTCCTATCGGCGACAGTGGCCGTTCAGTGGTCCATTGACCTCGATATAATTTTTACTATGTTTGAGGTGCTTTGTACTTTCAATGAATCTTTATAATACTTGTAACAAATAAATAAAATTTCCTCCTCCCTCATAAAAAATAAATAAAAATTGTGGTACTCCGCCGTTAAATCCCTCCTCTAGCGCGGTTACTGTAGACAGAGGATCTGCATCCCTCTCCCCGCCCGCGCGGCAGCCACCTCCTCCCTCGTTGTACACCCTCGCCAATCTCCCGCTACCGAACACTGGCACCCGCATTGCTCCGAGCTCAACGCACGAGCACCCGCCATTAACTATTCACAAGCTTCACTTCGCTCTGCAATTTCTCTGTAAGATCGAGGCAGAGCGTACGCAGAAAAGCAAAGCGCGCGAGTGTGTTTCGAGATGGCTACGGCGCTGTTGCCGGGCACCGGGATGACGCTATCTGGGGCGTGGCAGCAGGTCCGTGGCCCGGTGATCGTGCCGCTGCTGCGCGCGTCCGTGCTGCTCTGCGTCGCCATGTCCGCGATGCTGTTCGCGGAGAAGGTGTACATGGCGGTGGTCGTCCTCGCGCTGCGGCTGCTCGGCCGCCGCCCCGAGCGGCAGTACCGGTGGGAGCCCATGCGCGACGGCGAGGATCCCGAGCTCGGCAGCGCCGCCTACCCCATGGTCCTTGTCCAGATTCCCATGTACAACGAGCGCGAGGTGAGCACTATGCAGCGGCACGACGGCCGTGCATTGCATATTCAGTGCGTCCTTGGCTGACTACTACGTACGAGTAGTCTGCTACGATGTTCTCTGGCAGACTGAGCTTTCGTATCCTCGTTGATTTGCAGGTGTACCGGCTGTCGATCGGGGCGGCGTGCGGGCTCTCCTGGCCGTCCGATCGGATCATCGTCCAGGTGCTCGATGACTCCACAGACCCTGTCGTCAAGGTAAATTGGGGAACGATCACCTTTTGTCATTAGAATATCACGAGACAGTTTAGCTTATTAGGGGAATTTGGTTAGCATCTTTGTTTGCATGTCCTGGGGCAGTGGTGTGCTGCAGTGCACGCATGCTACTCACTCAGTTTTGGGTCGACACTATCTCTGCACTGCACGGACGACCCGCGAGAAGTGAAAATAAAAACGATGGTTTGTGAGTGTGCAGGAGTTGGTGCAGGTGGAGTGCCAGCGCTGGGCGAGGAAGGGCGTGAACATCAAGTATGAGACCCGGAACAACCGGTGCGGGTACAAGGCCGGCGCGCTCAAGGAAGGCATGAAGCACGGCTACGTCAAAGACTGCGACTTGGTGGCCATCTTCGACGCTGACTTCCAGCCGGAGCCCGACTTCCTGTCGCGCTCCGTCCCCTTCCTCGTCCACAACCCCGATATCGCCCTCGTGCAAGCCCGTTGGAAATTCGGTATGTACACTAAGCTAATAAATTGGTTCTGTTCACACTAACACGGCAAACACTGTTATTTGCGCTTCTCGAGCTGTGAGACGAAATTGCAATAACTGAAATCGTCTGACTTGACAAAATGTATATCGTGTGTATGTACTTAGTTATGTTCCAAATAATTTAGAACTATTAGCATGGATTTTTCAATGTCAGATGCACCGGTGGAACACTTATGAGTTAAACTTATTTTATAGCTGGAAGTTTAGCTTAGCCGTAAAAGTGCTCGCACATATACTATTATGTAGTTCTGAAAAATCCTTTGGCCTTGTAACTATAATTTTCTGAATTACTTACACATAAGTGCTACTCCTTTAAAAGGAAACATGTATCAGTATCATTGGCTAGTTTAGCAATGGCATATTGATGATATGATGTTGTTTGGTGATACGTGATAGTACTTACTTGGTACTACTACTTTTTTTGGGTTGAATTTCTTCTGCATTGTGATGACATTTCTCTTGTTGCTGCCGCTGCTTCTGGGCGAACAGTGAATGCAGATGAATGCTTGATGACAAGAATGCAGGAGATGTCCTTGGACTACCACTTCAAGGTGGAGCAAGAAGTGGGCTCCTCGACCTATGCCTTTTTTGGATTCAATGGTAAACTTGGTCACAACTTTGCTCTTGTGGAGCATTCTGTATGTTTCCTTTTTATTATTTCCATGATTGTGTCTATATTTCTTCTGTAGCGATAGATATGTGTTCCTTCCCTTGTTTCTAGTTAACAACAGAACTTGTTGAATAGGAACCGCTGGTGTGTGGCGCATATCTGCTCTGAATGAGGCAGGTGGTTGGAAGGACCGAACCACAGTTGAAGACATGGACCTGGCTGTCCGAGCAAGTCTCAAGGGATGGAAATTTGTGTACCTTGGTGATCTCAAGGTAAATATGCACCATTAACCTACAAGTTCATGCCACATTAGAGCATCATTCTATTGCTTACTTATATGTTAATTTTTGTGGAGGTTCAAATAAATGTAGAGCGAACCATGTGTCGAACTTGTAATTGTTGTTTTCAGGTAAAAAATGAGCTCCCTAGTACGTTCAAAGCATTTCGGTACCAGCAACATAGATGGTCGTGCGGGCCGGCAAATCTGTTCAGGAAAATGGTGATGGAGATCATCACAAATAAGGTCACTTACACTAGGCTATATTTTGGGGGACGTTAGTACATGCAGAATTTACTTGCTAACTAGCTATATAATGTCTTGATGCAGAAAGTGACACTTTGGAAGAAAATCCATGTGGTCTACAACTTCTTCTTTCTGCGCAAGGTTGTCGCACACATTGTGACCTTTGTGTTCTACTGCCTTGTTATCCCGGCCACGATCTTAGTTCCCGAGGTTGAGGTACCAAAGTGGGGTTGCGTATATATTCCAGCTATTATCACCCTTCTCAGTGTTGTTGGGACTCCAAGGTGCCAATCATCTAAACATCTATGAAATTTGTTTAAAAGTTGATGAACCTATGCTTCCTGACTTCTGGGCAATGACAGATGCATATTAACATGAGAAATCGTCAAATGTCGCAGGTCTGTTCACTTAGTTATCTTTTGGGCACTATTTGAGAATGTTATGTCATTGCATAGAGCAAAGGCCACCTTCATCGGTCTATTGGAGGCACACACGGTGAATGAATGGGTGGTGACAGAAAAGCTTGGTGACACTGTGAAGACTAAAATGCCAAGTAAAGCTTTGAAAAAGTTGAGGATGGGGATAGGAGAAAGGTACACAATGATAATTTCCTTAATTCATGTGCATTTCTTGATTCTCCTATCTAAACTATTATATGAAATCAGGTTACATCTTTGGGAGCTTGGTGTTGCAGCCTACCTCTTCATTTGCGGATGCTATAGCATTTCATTTGGGAATAACCATTACTTCATCTTTCTCCTTATGCAATCCATCGCTTTCTTCATCGTCGGTGTGGGCTATGTTGGGACATTCGTCACACAATGATGGTATCCGTTCTGAGTTTACCATGTCTTCGATGCTTTCAAGTTTCATGCTATATAATATAATCAATATGAAAGATAAGATCAAGAAGCCTTCTCTTGAGTGTAATGTCCTTTGACAAAAATGCAGTAGCAACACATCACATAGGTATATGGGTGTGTTTTAGCTGCTAGGAATGTGCCATACGCATGAGATCGGTGATGATCAAGCAAGTTGTCTAGAGTATCTGCATCACTGTAGCAAAAAAGAAATGATATTTTTCCAAGGTTCGCCATTTTTCTAGACAGATAAGCAAGGAAAAGTATCACCTTCCATTGTTAAGGAAGAAAGTAAAGTGCCTGGTGTTTCCTCACCTTTGGCCCACACCTTCAGTTATATCTTTTACCCTTTACCCCTGCTGAATGTTAAGTTCAATAAATAAATGCATTTTGGGAACATTTCCTTTAAGGAAATTGTATTTCAAACAGAGTTAGTAGCATACAAGCATTGCTTGCTGGAGACTAGCTTCTCTATCTCTTGTTGAGTTCATTGGACAATAGGAGGGAGCACCGACGAGCACACACACATGGGGTGGACTAGTGCTGGGCGTGAGCATCTGATGACCCACAAGTATAGGGGATCTATCGTAGTCCTTTCGATAAGTAAGAGTGTCGAACCCAACGAGGAGCAGAAGGAAATGATAAGCGGTTTTCAGCAAGGTATTCTCTGCAAGTACTGAAATAAATGGTAACAGATAGTTTTGTGATAAGATAGGTTATAACGAGCAGCAAGTAACAAAAGTAAATAAAGTGCAACAAGGTGGCCCAATCCTTTTTGTAGCAAAGGACAAGCCGGAACAAACTCTTATAATAGGAAAAGCGCTCCCGAGGACACATGGGAATATCGTCAAGCTAGTTTTCATCACGTTCATATGATTCGCGTTTGATACTTTGATAATTTGATATGTGGGTGGACCGGTGCTTGGGTGCTGTTCTTACTTGAACAAGCATCCCACTTATGATTAACCTCTATTGCAAGCATCCGCAACTACAACAAAAGTATTAAGGTAAACCTAACCATAGCTTCTGTCACTCTAGCAACCCATCATCTACCTATTACTTCCCAATGCCTTCCTCTAGGCCCAAATAATGGTGAAGTGTTATGTAGTCAACGTTCACATAACACCACTAGAGGCTAGACAACATACATCTTATCAAAATATCAAACGAATACCAAATTCACATGACTACTAATAGCAAGACTTCTCCCTTGTCCTCGGGAACAAACATAATTACTCACAAAGAATATTCATGTTCATAATCAGAGGGGTAATAATATGCATATAGGATATGAACATATGATCTTCCACCAAATAAACCAACTAGCATCAACTACAAGGAGTGATCAACACTACTAGCAACCTACTAGCACCAATCCCGGACTTTGAGACAAGAATTGGATACAAGAGATGAACTAGGGTTTGGAGATGAGATGGTTCTGGTGAAGATGTTGATGGAGATTGCCCTCTCCTAATGAGAGGAGCGTTGGTGATGACGATGGTGATGATTTCCCCCTCCCGGAGGGAAGTTTCCCCGGCAGAACAGCTCTGCCGGAGCTCTAGATTGGATCCGCCAAGGTTCCGCCTCGTGGCGGCGGAGTCTCATCCCAAAAAGTTCCTTCTTATTTTTTTTCTCATCAAGACTTCATATATGAGAAGATGGACGTCGGAGAGCCACCAGGGGGCCCACGAGGTAGGGGGCGCGCCCCCACCCTCGTGAGCAGGGTGTGGGCCCCATGGCCTTCATCTTTGGTGATGATTTTTCTTTATTTGTTTTAAGATGTTCCATGGAGTTTCAGGACTTTTGGAGTTGCGCAGAATAGGTCTCTAATATTTGCTCCTTTTCTAGCCCAGAATTCCAGCTGCCGGCATTCTCCCTCCTTATGTAAACCTTGTAAAATAAGAGAGAATAGCCATAAGTATTGTGACATAAAGTGAAATAACAGTCCATAATGCGATAAATATCGATATAAAAGCATGATGCAAAATGGACGTATCAACTCCCCCAAGCTTAGACCTCGCTTGTCCTCAAGCGAAAAGCCGATAACAATAAATATGTCCTCATGTTTAGAGGTAGAGGCGTCGATAAAAATAAAATACGGACATGAAGGCATCATGATTATTCCCATAGCAGCAACATATATAGCTTTTGTCATATGATTACTTATGTTCAAGTGATGATCTATTCACAATGCAAAAGTATAAATCATAAACCTTATTGGGCTCCAACAAACTGTAATCTCAGTCATTGAAGCAATTGCAATTTATCATAACATCGGAAAGAGTCTATGTCAGAGCTAAAAAGCAAGTCCACATACTCAACTATCATTTAGTCCTCCATAATTGCTAACACTCACGCGATACTTGTGGTTACGGAATTTTAATCGGACACAGAGAAAGATAGGGGCTTATAGTTTTGCCCCACAACCTTTTACCTCAAGGTTAATGTCAACAATAATGGTTCATGCTCCCCTACATCCAATTAGATATATATATATATATATATATATATATATATATATATATATATATATATCATGTTCTTTCCAACATGCTGAGCTTGCCAAAGGATAAAATGAAAAAGAAAAGGTGAAGATCACCATGACTCTTGCATAAGGTAGAAGATAATAATAAAGGATAGGCCCTTCGCAGAGGGAAGCAGATGTTGCCATGCGCTTTTATGGTTTGATGTATAAAATCTCAATGCGAAAGAACGTCACTTTATATTGCCCCTTGTGATATGAATCTTTATTATGCAGTTCGTCGCTTTTATTACTTCCACATCACTAGATCGTATAAAGCTTATTTCTCCCACACCAATCAATCATACATATTTATAGCAATTTTTATTGCTTTGCACCGATGACAACTTACTTGAAGGATCTTACTCAATCCATAGGTAGATATGGTGGACTCTCATGGCAAAACTGGTTTAAGGGTATTTGGAAGCACAAGTAGTATTTCTACTTGGTGCTGAGAATTTGGCTAGCATGAGGGGGAAAGGTTCCGCTATTGGTTATTGACCGGAGACGAGTCTCGGTCATGTCTACATTGTTCTCGAACCCGTAGGGTCCGCACGCTTAAGGTTTTGATGACAGTTATATTATGAGTTTATGCATTTTGATGTACCAAAGTTTGTTCGGAGTCCCGGATGTGATCACGGACATGACGACGAGTCTCGAAATGGTCGAGACATAAAGATTGATATATTGGAAGCCTATATTTGGATATCCGAAGTGTTCCGGGTGAAATCGGGATTTTACCGGAGTACCGGGAGGTTACCGGAACCCCCCAGGAGGTATATGGGCCTTAGTGGGCTTTAGTGGAAGAGAGGAGAGGTGGCCAGGGCTGGGCCGCGCGCCCTCCCCCTAGTCTGAATAGGACAAGGAGAGGGGGGCGGCGCCCCCCCTTCCTTCTCTCTCTCCTCTTTCCCCCTCCCGAATCCTATTCCAACTAGGAAAGGGGGGGAATCCTACTCCCGGTGGGAGTAGGACTCCTCCTGGCGCGCCCTCCTCCTGGCCGGCCGCACCTCCCCTGCTCCTTTATATACGGGGGCAGGGGGCACCCCTAGACACACAAGTTGATCCACGTGATCATATTCTTAGCCGTGTGCGATGCCCCCTTCCACCATAATCCTCGATAATATTGTAGCGGTGCTTAGGTGAAGCCCTGCGACGGTAGTACATCAAGATCGTCACCATGTCATCGTGCTGACGGAACTCTTCCCCAACACTTTGCTGGATCAGAGTCCGGGGATCGTCATCGAGCTGAACGTGTGCTAGAACTCGGAGGTGCCGTAGTTTTGGTGCTTGATCGGTCGGGCCGTGAAGACGTACGACTACATCAACCGCGTTGTGCTAACGCTTCCGCTGTCAGTCTACAAGGGTATGTAGATCACACTCTCCCCTCTCGTTGCTATGCATCACCATGATCTTTCGTGTGCGTAGGAATTTTTTTGAAATTACTATGTTCCCCAACAGTGGTATCAGAGCCTAGGTTTTATGTGTTGATGTTATATGCATGAGTAGAACACAAGTGAGTTGTGGGCGATATAAGTCATACTACTTACCGGCATGTCATACTTTGGTTCGGCGGTATTGTTGGACGAAGCGGCCCGGACCGACGTTACGCGTACGCTTACGCGAGACCGGTTCTCCCGACGTGCTTTGCACAAAGGTGGCTAGCGGGTGAAAGTTTCTCCAACTTTAGTTGAATCGAGTGTGGCTACGCCCGGTCCTTGCGAAGGTTAAAACAGCACCAACTTGACAAACTATCATTGTGGTTTTCATGCGTAGGTAAGATTGGTTCTTGCTTAAGCCCGTAGCAGCCACGTAAAACTTGCAACAACAAAGTAGACAACGTCAACTTGTTTTTGCAGGGCATGTTGTGATGTGATATGGTCAAGACATGATGCTAAATTTTATTGTATGAGATGATCATGTTTTGTAACCGAGTTATCGGCAACTGGCAGGAGCCATATGGTTGTCGCTTTATTGTATGCAATGCAATCGCGCTGTAATGCTTTACTTTATCACTAAGCGGTAGCGATAGTCGTGGAAGCATAAGATTGGCGAGACGACAACGATGCTACGATGGAGATCAAGGTGTCGCGCCGGTGACGATGGTGATCACGACGGTGCTTCGAAGATGGAGATCACAAGAACAAGATGATGATGGCCATATCATATCACTTATATTGATTGCATGTGATGTTTATCTTTTATGCATCTTATCTTGCTTTGATTGATGGTAGCATTATAAGATGATCTCTCACTAATTATCAAGAACTGTTCTCCCTGAGTATGCACCGTTACGAAAGTTCTTCGTGCTGAGACACCACGTGATGATCGGGTGTGATAGGCTCTACGTTCAAATACAACGGGTGCAAAACAGTTGCACACGGGGAATACTCAGGTTATACTTGATGAGCCAAGCATATACAGATATGGCCTCGGAACACGGAGAC